ATTATAATTAATAGTACGGGACACCTTGAAATTTGAAAGAACAATTATCCTATTCTCGTTTGTAGTTTGCGTATGGGAATATAAGTGGTAGTTTGGGAATATAACTTTTACCTTATAAGTTATATATATATTGCCTACTTTGGCCACTAAAAACTGTCAACTTTAATTTTAGTACAACTGTAATGCTAAATGTCTCCTAAAATTGCTAACAAGGTTCCTTTGCACCTACTTCCTCGGCAAAATGTCGGTGCTCGCTTCTTGCACTCCAGTGCGATTCGAGGCATACTCGACATGAGCTCTTTTTGCAACATGCTCATCTTCATAGCAAGCGGGGGCGGAGGGATAATGTTAGAGGGTGGGTCCCAAGACCCACCTTAGCTCGTGAGATAATTTGATATATTATGTATAAGTTAATCGGTATGAAAAATAACACGTATTTAAATAAGAATGGTTGAGATTTGAATTATTTGATGTATGATTTATACGTTGCGCATTGGCATATTTAATATTTTATAACGAGCTACGTGCAAATGAAAATGGTTCATATGATCCGCCCTAAATTAAAGGTGTACTTATTCAATATCTACAACAAATTTCCACCAAATCATAGCTAGTTGTAAAAATAATTTTATTTCAATCAAGGATAGGGAGAGTGTAACGGGTGGCTCCAAAGGATGAAAATGAATAAATTAGTATAATAGTTAATTAAGAATGAAATTTAGGGCACTTCTAATTGAGCATGGTTAACCGATTCTAAATCTTGGCGACCCAATTTGTTAAGCGCCTGATGTTCAGATTTGCGAAAACTTTAAGCACATATAAGTTGGTTTTGGTTAATAGAGAAGTGTTAGCAAACACTAAATACTATAAGATCCATTATTAAATCTAACCTAACAGCTTGAGTTATTGATGCTAAACGGTCTTGACAAAGAACACCATTCAAAAGCAAATGTCTAACTAAATCCTAAATAATTTTTTGATACATATGAAATGATATTCTTGATAGTTTCGATATTTATTTAATTTACCATGTTTTTTAAATACAAATTTATATTATGAATGATTTAGAAAGCTAAGAAAACTATTTTATTGTAAGTATTTTTTTCTAAATAGACCCACCCTCGACAAAATCCTTGCTATGCCCCTGATAGCAAGCTTGATGATTGTGGAAGAGATGCATTTGTAACTTTCCTGGATTTAAAGGATGACTCTACAAAGTACTAGTAACACCTAAATTATAATAATTTCAACCCTCTGTTTTTAGATGTTATTTGTTACTAAAAAGTGCCTACTTGTGTTCCATATTAGGATAAATTGAGCTTTTTTGCTTAATGAACAGTTTCGTGTATCAATGTTTTTTAGGGTTACATAAGGGAATTTTGATCCATCGTCTTATCAAGTTGAGTTCTTAAAATTAAAATCTTCAATGAAAACAATTATTATTTCTATTTGGGCAAAAAAAAAAAATGTATTTGTTAAAACATCACAAAACCATTGAAGGGATTTTTGTTGAGTATGTGATGAATAGCAAATTAAATTTTGAACCAATCTCAAGAAGTAAGTAGATAAGAGAATTTTGACACATCTTCTCACCAAGTTTGAGTTCTTGTGTAACACCAACCGCCCTCTCTTTCCAAATATTTTATTAAGTTTATTTTTGAAGTCATAGAGCTGATAGAAAACCTAGGATGAAGCTCCTTCTATTCTTGGCCCGACACCAAAAAGGCAAGAACCTAGGATATATTGGTGATGCCATTGCCTTATCTACCACAACATAAAAGCTGCGGGTCCAAATAAATATAATCTAGCATTTATCTGCTGCAGATATTGCATCGTCTTAGATCCCTTGTTCTCGTTAGAAATCCTCGACATACCCTTCAAAGGCCTAAAAATGAGTTTAGATTGTAAATTTGGTGACTTCAATTTCAATCCCTTAATTAGAATTCCTCTTTTTCTTGACCAATAATCTTTACGAACCATCCATGGTGGACTCACACACGAAACATTTCAAAGTCTTTCAGTGGTTGATCTCCCATTTCGTTATTCTTCGACAATTTGATGCGACAATATAAAAGTCCTTCAATCGGCGTTAGAACCCTTACAGACATAGTAAATACTTCATTTACTACACTTATATATGTCATTTATTCAATAAAAAAATATTTGAACTATGAGACTATTTCGAGGATATGAAGATAAATATTAACATTTGAACCACGTTAAAAATCATGCATTGTTCTCTACTCATTAATTTTATGTGGTGCTTCTATTGATTGAAACATTTTTAGTCACTTCAATAGTATTTTTAGTCTTGATCAATTAGCTTTTAATAGACCTAGACAATGTTTTTGTACTATTTGATGTCTTCTTGGTTTTGAAGGTACAAAGCAACCTAAAGAAGATTGGATCAAGCATTAAGGAATTACGGAAGACCAAATGAGCTATCAAGAGAAGTTTAAGGAGTTTTGACAAAGAAGGAGTGATCAATGACTGAGAAATCAACTAGAAGTTGCTAGATTATGCCAAGACGAGCCCAAAAAATTAGCCCATTATAAAGCAAGAAAGAGCGGCGACCCAAGCTAGGGGTCGGTCCAACCGTCGCTATCAAAAGTTGCAGCCCAAATCGTCAGGAATTGAAGTCCATGGATCAAGAAACCCAAACTAGGAAGAATCAGAGTGGCGAGTCCAACCGACGTACCGCTGCCTCCCTCCCTTTGGCTTGTTGACAAAGTTTTCTAAGTATACTAGTTTTGTGAGACTCTTTCACAGTCGGTTTAGGCCAAATTATCCCCCATAAATAAAGTGCATGACTCCAATTGTAAGAGTAAGCCTACATAATCACACAAATCTCTGTAACACTCTACATGAGTGCGTAGTCTAGACGAAGTAGAGGGTCTGCAGCTGAAGAGATGTTGTCATCATCAATGGTGTGGTACCTTCCTTCTCCTTTATGTAGCTAGTCAAAATTGGTTGTATTGGAATTTGACATTGTTTATTGTTATGTGAATGAATGCTGTGATTTCATCTCAGACTTGTGTTTGTCTTATGAATTTCGATGCCTATGATGATCATTGATTGCTTTATTGTTTTCGATGCTTATGATGGTCATTGATGTTTCTATAGTATGAATGCTCTTAATATCATTGATACTAATGATTCTATTGTATGATACTATATGCATTGTGCTTAGTATTGCCTAGATTGTCAAGAAATTACCTTCTAGGGATACCCCATTGATGCTACACGAGTATGGGAGGATTGATCACTCATATATGCTTCGAGTAGTATAAATGCGTGATTGTTAGATCATCAATGCTATAAACTATAATTATGCTTCGTAGAAGCCCACAATTAAATATATGCTATCCTATCTTCCTTGTTCTTCATTAATTAGGTAATGACATGAAACGAGAGCACGCATTAGCTAGTTAAATCTCTATCGTAAGAGGCGCATGCACGGGTAGAGAGTGAAATGGAAATGGGTTCCATGGCGGTTGGGTTTGCTACTGTGACAGCGACCAGTCATTCTGGCCCCAACCACACAACTCAGGGAAGCCAGAGAATGAAAGAAGAGCTAGGTCTCACCGTGGAGAAGGAGACGACGCATGAAAATGGGATTCTGGTGGAGAAGGTTGGTTTTGATTTATGGCTTGAGTCTGGTTTGGTTATGGGTTGAGTTGGTTTTGGTGATGGAGAAAAATTTCTGTGGGGCAAGTGCACCAACAAGGATTGCTTATGTGGTGCACCAAGCCAATTAAAGCATGGAAAGTGGCCATTTTAAGTTATCGAAAGATGATTTTTTTTTGTGTAATTAAATAATCAAAATAGAAGGTAAGTCGCGTGATAGAAAAGTGCGAAAACCCTCAGTTTAACGCCGCCACAGAATCGGCGAACGTCTCGATCCCAGGAGATCCCCAATCGACACGACTGAAAGCTTCTTTTGTTTATTCTCGCAAGGTTTAGTCTCGCCTTGAGACCATTTCATCAATTACCTTCCGATGTAAACCAGGGAAGTCATTCGTTGATGGGAAAATCGACTCTTATGGAGGTATCGAAACTGACGAGGAAAAAATCATCCCAAACCCCTCCCTCTGTTTGGCTTTGTACTTTTTCTACTTTCATAAGAAGGGGAAAAGGTTCAGATTAATTAGGATCTCCGATTTAGCCGTAATCAAAGAGATATACAAAGAAAACGAGTATTTAAAGTCTCGAAAGAGGAATTAATTCAACTTCTCGGTCGTCGACAATCAGTTGTGTTTCTCTTGGGGAGGTTTTTCCTCCTATTTCCTCACACTGATTTTGATCGGGGAAACGATTGAGTGTCTTGCTATCAAAGGAGAAAAAGAGGCAGCGTGTCAACGGCCGAGAAAAGGCAATATACAGGGATTGGGTAAGAAGTTTTGCCTTCATGTGGATATTCTGAACCCAACTTTCTCCATTGAAGGTTAATTAATTTGGATCCTAGCACTTTTCTCGATCCACACCCTAAGAAGAAGCTATGTTGCTTGGTTTATTGTTGTTATACAACTGATTTCAACTTCATCGGAGGGTATTTGTGGTCGGGTTAGGGGCAGGATGACGACGCGTCGGTTTCTTACGGTAAGGACGCAATTGCTTTTTTTAGTTTATAAACCATTAACACGTGGCACTAATTTATTGGGGCGGTGCACGAGTGACGTGGAACACCCGGAGCACCCAACTTTTTCTCTTTGGTGACGTGGTGGGTTTGATGATGTGGAGGGTCGGGTTTAATGATATGGCGGGTCAAAATAGGACACATCAGTACTTCTGTTAGCCACATAAGCAAATGACTGACAGTGTTAATAGAGACCGTCGGAGACTAATAGAGATTAATCAAACATGAGTTATTTTACTATTTCGAGTGACTTAAAAAAAAATCTAGAGGACCAAAATTATTTTAAAGGAACAAGAAAATGGAAAAAAGAAAAATTCACAAAACTTACATGCCGAAACAGAACACCTCAAAGACAAAAGGCATTCATTATCAACCCACCTCAATTGACTATTGTTATAACGAGCTTTTCCGTTCTTCCCCAATTTTCTTCCTTTTCTCGGCCTTCCTTTTGCTTCTTATAACAATTTTGGTTCAAGTAAAGCATCGAGGAAGGCAGGAATCAAAGGGAAATCGCGAAGGAGATGATTTGATCAAGGCACCCAAATCCCAAATCCAGACCTCTCTGGCCCTATTGGCAGATGCAGGGAGAGAGAGAGGCTAGAGCGTGGGGGGTATGAATGAAGTTGGAAGCTTGTCAGTTCTGGAATATTAAATTTGAAGCTATCTCGTTGGGAAGGGAGCAGAAAATCTTAAGGATTTCCCCACAAGGGTCCTCTCCAGATCTACATTTCTTACCAACAATCAGATACCTACATTCCACCCACCCTCATTCTTCCCTTCCTCTGTTTCTCTTTTTAGGTCACTCTCCATCTGGGTCTTGTCCGGTCTTCCAATTAGGTCTGCTCTCCCTTTTATCTTCATGCTTTTGGTCTCCTTCACCGATTTCTCCTTTGATTTTCCGTCTCACCTGCGTTTCTCGCGCTAGAGCCAGCTCCCCTTGATTTTGCTTTGCTCTCTGCCTCCATTATATAAATCCCCACAACATTAGCCGAAGAAGTAGACAGCTTTTGCATAAAGTAATGCGGTTCAATTTGGGCTTCCCCATTAAGGTTTAGTGGAGTTTCAGGTAATCGCAAAGCAGTTCCCAGGAGGGAAAAGACGGATCTTTGGTTATTGGGTTGTGCTTGCATGCGTTTGGTGCTGAAATCTACTACAAGAGGGTCAATTTTGAATTGGGGCAAAAGAAGAAGAATGGGAGGGACTGGTCCTTTCATCCCGATTCTTGGGGTTGCTTCATGTGTGGTCTTCATTTATCTTTCATTTGGCGACCTGTGGCCGGCGTATCCTGTGGGACCGGCGTGGAGTTTTGTGCAGAGAAATGGGACTCGGTTTATGTTGGATGGGAAGCCGTTTTATATCAATGGGTGGAATTCGTATTGGTTGATGGACCATTCCGCCGATAACCAGAGGAAACACAAGACTACTGCAATGCTGGAAGCTGGTTCAAAAATGGGTCTCACCGTCTGTAGAACTTGGGCGTTCAATGATGGCGGCCACAATGCACTTCAGGTCTCTCCTGGCCGATTTGAGGAGAAAGTTTTCAGGGTATGATTAAATTCAGATTGCCTGTTTTCTTATGCTACGGATGTCTTTTACAAATTATCTTCATTCTGTTGCTTCTTCTTGTTAGATCAATTTGTCATGTAATGCTTGTAGTTATAGTACTGGTGTTAAGCCTTTTATTCTGCTTCTTAGATTTGAGGCTTGGATCTTAGATGCTCTCTTCCTCGATATGAATTACTTGTTCACAATTTTTAGTTAAAATCTCATTGTCGGTTGAAGCCAGTTGAAAGGAGTTGGCCTTTGCTTCTCTTTCTTTCAGTTTTTTTTCCTTTTTCCAGGTTTGGTTATGCGCTGGCTCTTTAAATTGGGTAGATGGGGCTGGTAAAATAACGCCAGTGCTCCTTGACAACTGTCTGTTGGATGTTGCAGAGGGAACATGGGTTTCTGTCACGATTAGTGGGTCTGCTGTACTTTGTTGTTTCTCCTGATCTGGTTTTCCAGAAAGAACGGTGTAACGTTTGCCTTGTCTTGTATCTCGTTTTCGGTAGTCAATTCATTTTCGGCATATTTGCTCTTTGATGGGAGGGTTAGTCCATCTAAATATGCAAAGTGTAACTACTAACTATCATGCTTGTTGGTAGGTCTTCAATTGGTGTAATTTGTCATTATCATTTCATGCTTCATCTTTTACTTTTGCTTATGATTCAGGCGTTGGATCACGTGATTGCTGAGGCGAAAGCACATAAAGTCAGGCTGCTTCTTAGTTTAGTGAATAACTTAAAACCATATGGCGGTAAGGATCGATATGTGAAGTGGGCTTGGGAAGAAGGGGTTGGCTTGAGCGCTTCCAATGATTCTTTCTTCTATGATCCATCCATCAAAAAGTACTTTAAGCATTATTTACAGGTATTTACTGCTGAACTTTATCTACAGCCTTTATTTAGTTGATATGTTCTGGGGGATTTCATATCTTACTCAGTCATTCTGGAGTTGCTTATCAGTTATCAGTTATGCCATAGCAATGAAGCAAAGAAGAATCTGCTGCTGCATATAGTCACCTGTTTTCCCTTTTCTACCATTGAGTTTCTGAGATTGGGTAACATGGACACATGGTCAAGTCTAATTGCATCCTTATTGCAGACCATGCTGACAAGAAGGAACACTGTCACGGGATTGGAATATAGGAACGATCCAACCATCTTTGCATGGGAATTGATGAATGAACCCCGTTGCATGACAGATCCTTCGGGAGATACTGTTCAAGTAAGTAGTGGACTTTCAACTTTATCAATTAACTTATCGAGGAATGAGTTTTTTTGCAAAATTGATGTTACTTTTTAAGTTTCTTGGATCTCTGACCCTTGAGTCCTTCTGGAATATCAAGATGGAAAATTCCGCTACTTCTTTTTCTTGACTCCTTCGTTTCCTCATAGCAGCAATCAGTTACGATATGTGATGTTTCTGTAAATAGGTTTGGTGCGACGATTTTCAAATCTTAGTTCAGCTTCCTTAGACTGGCCAAGTCCCTAGGTTAGTAGGTTAGTTGAATACAATTGCAGAACTTCCAGCCGAATTGCAAAGACTCATCAATTCTATGTATTTGCCACCTTTGTAAGTTGTAACTGGAAGGTTAGCTTAGCAGACAAAGGAAAATCGAAAAGACCAACGACTTGTCTAAAAGAATCGAAGAACCACGAAATCCATTTTTCCTAAGAAGTGTTTAACGTCATGAGACTTCTGATTGCAGAATTGGATCGAAGAAATGTCGGCTTACGTGAAATCAATTGACAAGAATCATCTACTAACAGTGGGGCTGGAAGGGTTTTATGGTCCTAAAAACCCCAAAAGACTGACTGTGAATCCAGCAGATTGGGCTGCAGACCTTGGATCTGATTTCGTTCGCAACTCAAAGGTTTCACACATTGATTTTGCCTCTGTTCACATATACCCTGACCATTGGTAAGTATTGTTTATCACACAACACAAACTCTTTGAAGTGACAAAAATGAAGCTATGCCAACCCTGAAGTTTGTTCTATATGTTGGATTCAGGATTGCTCATCGATCATTTGAGGATAAACTGTCATTTGTTTCCAAGTGGATGCTCTCACATATCGAAGATGGTCACTACGAGCTGAACAAGCCTGTTCTCTTCACCGAATTTGGATTGTCTAATCTGAACAAGGACTTCCAACCATCTCAACGGGACTGGTTATACAAAACAGTTTATGATATCATATACAAATCTGCCAAGAGAAAGAGAGCCGGAGGTGGTGCTATGATGTGGCAACTATTTGTCGAAGACATGGACGATAGTAATGATGATTTCGGTATTGTCCCGTGGGAAAGGGCATCAACATATAAGTTGATAACCGAGCAGTCATGCAAACTGGCAAAACTCCGAGGCGCCATAGAAGAGAACCAGAATCTGAAAGAACTGTGCTTGCGCAAACAGTGATGGAACAATCTTGAAGTTCAACACTTTCAATTTTGTGTGCACAATTCTGTACGAGATGAACACGCACCCACTTCTGGGCTTCTACCTCTGCTCATCTCAATTTTATACAGAATATTTACTATATGGTAGCATAGACGAATTAGATATAGAGGTCATCATGAAATCAATATGGGTGCTTTGTTGTATAATCTTCTACCATGATAATAGAGGAGAGATTGGATTGAGCTGCTTTGCTGTAAGATCTAGGAGACATTGGATTGATCATATAACAGTTTAGCTTGCAGGGTTACAATTGTTGTAACAAACACAGGTGCTGTACCGCAAACTCATTTGCAATTATCATCGATGAGACATTGGATTGATAATGTTAGACAAACTATAAACCTATAAACATCGATTCACTATTGAGAACAAAAGCAAGGAAAACCCTTAAATCGCCGAAAGATAAAGGACTACCCCTAAACACACGATCAGATCTAGCTCGATTTTTGCTTTGCCAACCTTGGCGAAGTCCTAACACTCCCACCATCGCCTCCAGCATCAGCAGGAACCTTTTGGCCATCTTCCCCAACTTTCCTCAATCTCTTCTTCGACTTCTTCCCTTCGGAACCCTCTTTGTTCAACTCTTCCACAATCTTCATCACCGAATCAGCACCCCTGTCATGGCCTTTCTCCAACCCACTTCTCCTTGTCCTCACCCCAACCGATTCTACGGATTCCTGCGTCTTACCGTTCTTTTTCATCGCCTCAGTTTCCTTGGCAACCCTCTCAAACTCCCCAACCAATTTCCTCGCCGGAAATTTCTTACCCCTGGTTCTCTCCCTCTTAGGCTCATCTTCTGGGTTTTCACTCTCATCCTCGAATAGATCCATGAACTTCCTCTTCTTCGTCACTCTAGGCGCCGGAGGGGGAGAAGTGGATCCTGCCCTCTTCTGATTCTTCTTCCCGGCGGCTTCTAGGCCGGCATCGTTCTGCTTCTTGGGGGTATTTCCCGTCTGCGATTTGACTTGCTTCTCCCGGAACTTGCGCAGCCTGTCGATGTTACCTTCGATGCGACCCTGGAGGCGGAAGCGCTGGGTGTTGAGACCTCCCATGGACCAGTGAGCTTCATGAGCCCAGGAAAGGAAAGGATCCATGACTGAGACAGGAGGATCGACGCGTTCAGTTAGATCATCGAAGATTCGAGGGCCGGGGTGGCTGCTGTGGTCGAAGAATCGAGGGCGAGGGAGGCTGCTGCCGTAGAAGTTAGCAGGACGGAGAGCGACTACCATGATCGGGAATAGGTAACGGCGATATGGGCTTCTCTGGGGAATTAAAACAAGCAGGTGGTGGGGGAAATGAGGATGGAAGAGAATTTGGGTTTGCTGTTTGGAGGATTGGAGTTAGGGTTTAAATGGGAGGGAAAATTGAGGTTAGGGTTGGGGATCTGGCGGGACGGGAACGGGAGGGAAAAGATTGGCGCGCTTGGTGAATGGCGGGAGTGGCTTTGGCGGTAGAAGTTGGCGCCGAGCGTTTCGTGTTTTTGGGAAATGGTAGGAAACTGTGATTTGGGTCCATTCTCCCGCTTGAAGGTTTGCTTAACGATTGAGCCTTTGTGCGGGCCTGCAACGAATTGGGCTCTGCCTTAGGCGCCTTAAATCTTACGAGCTTATGAGGGAACGGCGAACAATGCCCATTTTTTGGTTACGGTGGGAGACTTTGACAAACATCAAAGCCTACTGGTCTTTTGATTCGGAACTAGAGGTGGCAATTCTCAATCCAATACACCAATCTAATCCACCAATCCATTAAAAATATTCACCTAATCCAATTCATTTGATCCAAATTAAATTGGATTGGTGGATTCATGCATTGATCCATGGATCCAAATGAAAAATTACGGTTTGGTACCTATACTTTTTATATTTTATATTTTGGTATCCAAAATTTGATTTTTACACGACAAATATCATTGGAAATTACATTTTGGTACCTAAATTTTTTTATCACGACATTTTAGTACCTAAACTTTTCACATTTTACATATTGGTCATTGGTTGAGGATGTCATTTGGATTCATGGATAATCCACTAATCCATTTATTCAATCCATTTAATCTATGGATCCACCAATCCATGGATCCAATCCATTTGCCACATCTATTCGGAACTGATGAAAATATAATTTTAGATAATTATTATTTATCGCTCTAAGAATTCAAAAACGACGCTTTAAACTCTAGTAAAATTATGTTCGTACCCTTATTTTCAATTTTGAGTTTGTGGCTCATTTTCACCAAAATCCAGAATGCTCCCTGCTCAATCTAACCTCCCACCACCATCAAATTCAACAGCGACAGACTGATCCACAGGGGTAGAAGGATGTGTTGGTGCCAGATTGAGAGTTGGGTCAGCATTAAGGGGAAAGAAGAGAGTTGTTGGAGGTTGGCGATGCGACCTTGGGGAGGACGAAGAAGTGTGATTGGGAAAGTAACTATTTACAAAATAAACACACTCTTTCTTCTCTTTTCTGGTACGATAGTAATTTGAGAGTCTTATTTTGGTTATTATTTGTCATTACTTAGTTTGTTTGGAGGTTGGACTCCTTGTTTGGTAGTATAGGAGTTTCTTTAGGGTCAAGTTACATAGTCCTTGTAAGATTGGTGCCCGTTTGGGGTTTTCGGCTTATTATTTATATGTGTGTTACTCTTTGGTTTATAAGCATGGAGTAAGAATTCAGTTTAGTATTTCTTTGTTTGTAGTTTTTTCATAGAAACCCTAGTTCTGAGCATGTTGCGTAGAATTTATACGCAACATTTTCTTTCCCTTGTCTCCTTCTTCCTCCTCTATGCTATTGCCCTTCTTTCTTCTTCCTCGATCTTCCCTCTTCTTCTCCTCTAATTCTCTATTTGATTCTCCAATTCCTATAGTAACTTCGACTCTTGCTTCATCAGTTTGTCGGTAAAGATCCAAGATCGTTGCAAGTGGTACCAGAGCCTACTCTTGGCAACCATGTCGCTAGAAGCGGTCAATCAGATATGTGACTCTATCAACTCGAAATATGACCGTATGGAAGGCCGATTTGATGAGATACTGTAACGATTGGATGAAAGACGTCCACAATGGCAGGTGGGGGTGCTGGACGGTGAGGAAGGTCCGTTGATGAATCAACACGGTGGTCGAAGCGCTGCTCAAGAAAAATGCCCACCGCCTGATCGAAAAAATGCCCAATTGGAGACTTACCATTCACATCCACCACTAGATCCATTTCCGGCTAGCATGTAGACTCCGAAGTTCTTTTTCCTCATCGGCAACAACAACAATTCCTATGTGTGCTCCTCTCCACCACTGAATCAACCCTTATGTTTATCTCAACCGCCAAGCACTGATGAATCAGTTCCTTCTTCCACCGCCACCGGTGATTGGGTCGTCTCCAAAAATTCATTGCTTCCGCCGCCTGATCGAAAAAATGCCCAATTGGAGACTTACCATTCACATCCACCACTAGATCCATTTCCGGCTAGCATGTAGACTCCGAAGTTCTTTTTCCTCATCGGCAACAACAACAATTCCTATGTGTGCTCCTCTCCACCACTGAATCAACCCTTATGTTTATCTCAACCGCCAAGCACTGATGAATCAATTCCTTCTTCCACCGCCACCGGTGATTGGGTCGTCTCCAAAAATTCATTGCTTCCACCGCCGACTGAGCGCGACGGATACAGGAGGGTTCACCTCCAATGCCAGGTAAAGAAATCATCTCCTTAGAATACCAATTCCCTCCTTCAATGGTGTAAATCCTAGATCTTGGATTAAGGAGTGTGAATGATTATTTGAGGAATATAATACTTTGGAACATGAGAAGGTCGGGTTTGTCATCGCTAATTTGGAGTGAAGGGCAGATTAATGGCTTGAGGACTAGACTTATTGTAATTTAGTTTGGGTTTAGAATGAGTTTGTCGATGTTGTATGGACGTTTTAGGTGGTACTTTACTCCTACTCATTCCCAGATTCTTAATGTGAGTAGTGTTAACAACACTAGTACAGTTGAGATAGGTTACAAATGACGAGAATGGTCTGAGTGATATTCTTGCTTCACAAGTTGTGGATGTGGCAGCAACTCAATCTTTGAAAATGGCGATAACACAACTATGGGGGCTAATATCAATACGGGGGTCGCAGTCAAGTTGCCAGATGATAAGCTAGAATGATGTTTGGGAAATGATGGAAGTAGGGTGATGGTATGGCATATTCCTGTTGGCAGTACTAATACTCATGATTTCCCTAATGGAATAAGTTGTGATTGTCAGAACGCTCAACCTGTGGATAGTACTTCTCAAAGCAATGCTGATTTTTCTTCTCGAATATTTCAGGAGATTGAAAATGGCTTGAGGGTGACTAGTTCTATTGGTAGCCAGAAGAAGACTCATAGTACCCTCTTTTTTTTTGTATCAATGTACAAGCTTATGAGTGTTTTGCCATCTTGTTGTATGACAGATGGTCTAAAAGAAGCAAGTTCAGAGGTAGTTTCTTTAACTGAAATTGCAGACAAGGAAGTAGTTGCTGTTGAAACTCAGGTGCAACAAAAGTTAGTTCATTGTGATGGCTATGTCTTGTGTATTGATCCTCGTGATGATGGGTTATTGCCAGATGTATGAGAACTTGTTTTACCGAAAGCTCACCGGTATTGTTGGCATTGAGTGAAGTTAAAAAGAAGGGTTGTATGACCCGATTTCAAAGAGCCTTACAAAGATCGTGTAATCACAAAAATAGGTGATCGTGTGGTTGTTGTGTAGTCTGTGTGTTCGATTCACAGTTTTGGTAGTTGTTATTCAAGCTTTGAAGCATTTAGTGCTGTAAAAGGAGAAATGGGGGCAGAAGCACAACAACTTGACCATGGATATAGCTTACAAATCCTATATTATGCCTCCTGCTATTGTTTGACCCACTGGTTCATATCAAGCATGTAAGTGCCAAATTCAACAATGAGGAAATTGCATCCAAAGTGGTTTATGGGGATGATAAGCTGCTAGCTTTCAGCAACATAAATCATCAAGTCCTCACCTATATTGTCATTATTTTGAATGTCATCTATCCACATCATCTTCAATTGGGTTTCTTGTTGGGTTATTGGACGAGGAATCAGTACATGGATGCTTTCAAGACCAGTTGTAGGCAAGGAACTGTTTGGTGGGTTTTCTAGACATGCTTGGGGCTCAAGGGTTGTATTGTGATAGATTTTTGTTGATAATTATGCACTTGATTGCATGATTGTTACGTATTTCCTTGGGTGTGGCAATGAGTCTGGCTATAAAGAGCAATACAAGGATTTTCATAGGGGTTGCACTTGCATTTACCAGTCTGGTTTATGGTGTAGCATCCAATTTGGCAAGGGCCCGAAGACTTCACGAAGGTTTTGGTGGAGCTCTTCCATTCCCTATATTTGTTGATAGGTTGCTTGTTGCAACATCTTTTGTTGATTATCACAGTTAGATCTTTTTGGGATTGTTATGTCTTTTCATTTGTTCTATAGCCTCAGGGACAAGGTTGTTTTCAAGGAATGAGGATTGTAACGATTGGAATGTAGTTGTAAATTAGGTTTAGTTGGTGGATCAATTGGTAATTGGGTCATCTATAATTAGGATTCTGTTATAATGGGAAAGAATGATTTACAAAATAAACAGACTCTTTCTTCTCTTTTCTTTGCCTCATCTCCTTCTTCCTCTTCTCTGCTAGTGCTCATTTTTCTTCTTCCACAATCTTCCTTTCTTTTCTCCTCTAGTTCTCTATTTGATTCTCCAGTTTCTATCGTAACTCCAATTCTTGCTTCATCAGTTCGCCGGGAAAGATCCAGGATCGTTGCAAGAAAAAGGATCCCAACACCGCCCGAAGCCCTACTCTAGCAGAAGGACGACGAAGAAGAAAGTCGACCGGTGTTCTGCCGTCGTTGCTGGATTTGTTCTCTTCCTAAAGGAAGAGGAATTTTTTTTCGTGCAGGCAGGTTCTCAACGCGCACGTGCCTGGTTGAGGGTGGATATCTGACCCGCCCGATTTCTCCTTCCTCCTTGACTCAGTGACTAGTTTCAAAAAAGGCGACAATGGGTTTCGACGACTTGTTTTTGGGAGGGCCGTGGGGCTCGAACGACGATGGGTTTTGGCGGCTGGGTGATAGGGGAAGGGAAGAGGGGAAGTAGAGGGGTGGCGAGTCTTGTTTAGGGTTTATGTTAATTTTAGTTTGAATGGTAAAATGGTAAGTTTGGTATAGTTTAGGGTGATAATGTCAAATATTTAGGGCGACGAATAGAAGTTCAGATATAATAACGGACAAACTAGATGGACACGTGGTTGGTTAAATTGCAGTTGATATCGATCTACCCACAAATAACCCAAAATGCAATTGATGGGTCGTGGATGGATCATGGATCCAAAAATTTATATATCTACTTATTAGGGAGGGTGGGTTATAACTTATAAGTCACCAGAATAACCCGCATTCTACTTTCACATGACAATGACTTGTTTCTTGTCTATATTATCATATTTCCTA